CGAGCAAATGAACATTTATACATTACAGCGAGACACCAACACCGTTTAATATGTGGGTTGCAATATTTGGTACACGAATTATTGGTCCTTTTGTTCACCATGAAACACAGACTTCCTAACGTTATGGAAATTTGCTTGAGAATCATCTTGAGGAAGCCCTGGATGATTTACCGATTGCGGAAGTTCAGAACTGTTGGTTTCAACAAGATGGCGCTCCGGTACATAATTCCAGAGAAGTTCGTGCGTTTTTATCCAGAAAAATGGATTGGTACTCATTCTGCAGTCCCTTTGCCGGTGCGGTCACCTGATTTGACACAGCTGGATTTTTTTAGGGAATATATCGAAAACTTTGTACACGCAAATAGCTTTAATGATGAAAAAGAACTGAGGGACAGTGTCATCGAAGCATTCAATAGAATAACCACAAAAATGCTCAGTAATGTCATAGAAGCAACTGTGAGAAGAGGATATCTTTGTTCAGAAAATAATGGTTATCATTTTGAACATTTGTTATGAATGTTTCTGTAGGTATTGTCAAAGTTAAGTTGTTAAAGTAATGCGTGTAAGAATTCATCAACAATTTTAAGCGCTGCATTGAATGATGTAGTGAAATATTTTTTATTCACTTTTCAGTATTCAATAACTAATCCATCAATGTTTGACACTAATAATCAGAAATGAATGGAACTGATGGCACTTTTCCTTTGGAATTTCGAAAAAACATTGATGATGGATAGAAATAGGTCGAAACACATTCGAATCACCTTGTATAATACATGGTTGATCAGAATGAGAAAACCTTTCAGAATCTGTGAAATAATAATCAGAACCGTATTTAAAAAACAAAAGTTGATGATGCTTCTACGGATACGAAACGTCGCATAAAAAAATCGGTATCACCACGTTAAACGTCATCAAAAGTTGCTATGAAAAAATATTTTCAGTTCTTCTGCATCTCTAATGATAACGGAGAAAAAAAAAAATGAAATAGATATTCCAAAAATCCACTTTTTACGTTATAACTAAAAAACTTAAAATAATTTTGAAAATTTTCGAAGGCTCTTGATATGAGCTTCCGAATGCGCAACTTTTTCCCCGTTTATCCGACTTCGTATCTCCTACCGTTTTCGAGATCCACATGCTGTTAAACCTTATCTTGGACAGACTGTATATTCAATTTCCAATAAAAAATCAAAATTAGTACACGAGTTTGACTATATTTTCAGAATTTTGTCTTTTTGAGGTAAGAAACAGGCAAATCCATTTTTTCAAAATTCTTTTTTAGCTCCTACAATGTGAATGAAAATTATTATCTAGGTAAATACAGCTTATCTAACGTAACTCTAAAGGATTCATACCATTTAGCATAATGTTTTTCAAAATTCTCAAAAATATTGAGATTTTTTCCATTCCCCGACATTTTAACCAATTGGAGTTGCCCGGTTCTTGCACCGAGGTCTTCAAATGCTGTACATGATGGTGCGAATGCCCAAAATATGTTTGATAATTCGTGATTCACATGGTATGTTCGGAGAAGGACTGAATGATGTGCACTTCATTCAGTTGGACAATGATATATTTTTGAACCTTTCCTTAGGTTATTGAATTACTTTACATCAATCGACCATGAGATAGGACATCTTGTCATTCCTACAAGAATATATGAGAAGAATATGACGAGAATATACCTGGAGAGTAGTTTCAGTGACGAAGAATTTGAATGTTTACACGCATATATAAATGCTTAATGAAGAAGAAAATGTCTACTTGTAAATCTGGTGCTCGAAAGTGTTCCACATAACGCCAATGTCGTATACTTTTTGATGTATGCAAGCCATCAACAAAAAATATAATCTGTACATAATCGTGATTAAGAGCCGCAAAATATTGATCACATTTATATTTAGTTCACTACTTTACGTTTAATTTTTATAAAGTTCCTGAGATTGAAATTTATACAACAAACAGAAATAATTTTGAGTGACCCTGTATAATCTCAGATCACCCAATATTGAAAATGAATGATATTTATATACTTATTCTGCAAGCTTTGGCGTTTGACTAAGTTTGGTCAAAGAATTATATAAAAATTAACATTGGCGGCTATATTTAGTACCTACCTAGAAAACGAATATCCCTGTATACGGAGTCTGATAATCTTTTAATACAACTCGTGTCGACAATATCAAGATAATGATTATTCTTGCCTCTTTGTAACAAAGTTCGCCACATTACCGATTTTCTAAGGGTTAGTATCAACCTGCCTCCGCATGTTTAACCCCCTGTATTCAAAAATCTGCCCATTAGATCTCGTTGTGCCCATGGAGACATTTGATCAGGACAACATGAACTACATTTCACTAAATTTTGAGCCAATTCGACTGGGACCCATGTTCCATATGAACCGTGCGGGGTCCTTTGTATATCGGTACTTCAAAATTGTGAACCAACTCCCCAGAAGTCGAAACTTGTGCGCGGTTAGTAAGAACGGGACCTACTGCTTATAGTGGAATCCGAACCACTTCTAGGGCACCGAGGTGCTGCCAGGATTACAACCATGAATCTTACATTTCAAAGAAAAATGCTCAGCCGATAGCCGGATTCGAACCTACAATACCTTCTCATTGTGAACGGCTATCTAGCGAATTTCAGCGCATAGACAAACTCGGCCACGTTTTAAAAACTAAAAAAACACGCTTATATGGATACCCACTAAGCAAAGTAATATTTCAACAATATTGCAGCAGTATTTCAATGTAGTGTGTAATGTTTCATCAGATATTGCCGCCATCTTACTGCAAGGTAGCAGCAACTACTGAAACGGACGTTCAGCAATATAATGAATGTGATGTTCGCGGATGAGTCATTCCAGCAAAGTTATGGTCTAGCACCAATTCTAGGATTAAAAGCATGTGTTGCATTAAACTTGATAAAAAGAGTTTCATTAGTTTCTGATATATACAAAAATATTAAATCATCTTCCGAATTAATGGAAAAGTATGCTGATATATTTCAAGGTGTTGGTTGTACAAAACACACTGCACAATCAGACTACAAGAGAATTATGTTCCATGTATGTATGTCAAGAAAGCATTAGATCAAATTATTACAAGAGTTGAAGAAGCTATAGAATGGGTGAATGCAATGGTTATTACACCGAAAAAAGATGAATCGGTTCTCTTGTGTATGGATCCTAGACCACTGAACAAGTATATTATACTACAAATAATTGAACTTCCTACATTTGAGACTATAATTTCTAGAATAGGGCAAGCAAAATGGTTTTCAGTACTAGATGCTTCATGTGATTTTTGGCAGATCCCTCTAGATGAAAAGAGCTCTCATCTGTGTACTTTTATAACACCTTTCGCTAGATACAAATTCAACCGGTTACCTTATGGATTATCAAATGCACAAGAAATTTTTCGAAATGGCATCAATGATTTTATAAATGAGTTAGAGGGAACTCTAGGATATATGGACGATATTTTGATATGGATGGGAATAATATAGATGAACACAACGAGAGATTTGTAAAATTTTTCTCCAAAGCAAGACAGAAAATTTGAGGTTCAAGAAAGAAAAACTACAATCAGCTTCGACAAAAGTTAGTTTTCTGGGACATACTATAACAAGTGATGGAATTAAGATATCTGAAGAAAAGATCAGAGCAAATTAAAATATGAACAGGCCTACGAATGTGAAAGAATTACAATGTTTCTTAGGAATGGTGAATTATCTAAGCCGCTTCATCCCGAATATTTATAAAATTACTGCCCCTTTGAGAGATTTACTGAACCACAAGAGAAATCATTTAAAGACGTGAAGAATCTTCTTAATACTGCTCCAGTTTTATGTTACTTTGATCTAACGCTTCCGATGACATTATCCACAGATGCCAGTCACTATGGTTTGGGTGGTCACATCAGTCAAAATGAACATCCCATTGCTTACTGGTCTATGTCATTGAAGTATGCCCATCGAAATTATGCTCAAATTGAGGAATAGTTGCTCAGTATAGTTTTAGCATCTGAACATTTTCATTACTATTTGTATGGACGTCCTTTTATCGCAGTTACAGATCACAAGCATCTGTTGGGATTAATTAATAAACCAATTGACGCACTATCTGCTAGACTTCAGAGAATAAATAAGATTCATGAAATATAGCTTTGCTTTGACATTCTTGGCTGGAAAAAAGCAGTATATTCCAGATATATTATCAAGAGCACCACTGAACGATGAAAAGTCAACTGAGTTTGTTGATGATTTCAAAATTAATGCCATTCTCATTGTGAGTGACTTCTAGAAAATACAAACACAGATCCGCAATCTATGGCCTAATAGAATGTCATCTCTCAAAAGTGAATCCAAATCGTATTATCAATACCGAGATGAAATACATAAACAAGATGGATTCAATTATACCCGAAATATACGAAAGAATCATTATCTCCGACCCCGAAATCCTCTAGATTAAAATTTTTGATCTAATCGGATCATAATTACAAAACTCGTTCGCCACACTGAATCCGAATTTTGACGAAAGAATTATAATATTGATATTCATATTGATACCCCAAAAAAACGTATTTGTCATGTTCACATGTGCTCTTCTAGATAATGGAGTTTGTAGTGGAAAAACAGTGAGTACCAGATTGAAACTTATATCGAAAAATCAATAATTTGAAACGGATTTCGTTGAATACTCAACCTTTCATCTAGGTATTTGCCTGTGGGGTATTTGCTTGTTGATATAATCTCATCGAACATATCGATTTAAACAGACAAATAGCAAAACCTACAAACTTTTTGCGGTAGAGAAATAACGATAACGTTGAATCTATATAGTACGGGAGCTCAATTGAAGAATTTGGAAATGAGTGATGCTGTCCTCAGATGTTCAATGAGCTGACTAAGCAAAATTCGAGCATAACCGCACAAAATAATCATCTCACATCCCAAATCAATACACTTGTGGAAGATTTCATGGATTTCAGGAAAACAATAAATGATAAAATAGATAACTTAAGAAAGAAAAATGAAAAATTGACGGGCGAAAATCGTGTATTGAAACGAAGCCTCCACTTCACAGAAAAAAGAACGAAAAAATATAACCTGGTCATTTATAATTTAAAAGGTGATAATCCCTTGGAGAACGTTGCACAACTTTTTCAAGATAAACTCAATATTCCATGCCACGAGAGTGAGCTCAGAGATGCATTCAGATTAGGACATTCGCAGAATAAGGATAAACCTGCGCCAATATTAGTTTATTTTCTCAGGAACAAACTCAAAACAGAAGTTCTCAGCAACGCAAATAGATTGAGAAATACGGGAATCTACATATCCCTGGATTATACTACAGAAGAATACTGTAAGAAAAAAAATCTCATGGAGAATCAACAAATTGCTCGTGAACAAGGCAAATCAGCCAAGATTAAAAGAAATTCACTAATAATCGAGGGGGTCGTCCACCGCGTAGAACAGGTAGAAGTGCCATTTGCTTCAGGAAGAGAACAGAAGAAAAAAGAGAGCAGAAAAAGAAAACAAAGTACAACACCCGAACCGAAAGTCACTAAATCCAAAAGTACATCAATATCTGAATAACTAAGACATTATAGGTGTATTTGTTATTATTATTATTTTTTTTCGGCTTATATACAGTGTGTCCACCTTAAGGACTTACCACCCCTGTAAAATCGTTATTATCCGACCAATTTCAAAAAACCTTTTTTTGTTGGATAGGTATTTGAAATGCCCATCCAACGAGAGAGTGATCTAATTCTTGGACTGTTATCGTGGCCAACTGCGACAAATTTCAATGACCCATAATCCAGGAAGTACTATTAGGGATTTTTTTCCACGAAACTTGATGATGGATTCTGAATCAGTACCACTTGAATACACCTGTACCGATTTTCATCATCATAAAACACAGGGTGTCCGAAAAAACGAATCATCATTTTCTTCAAATAGGTGATCAGCAAATGTAGTTCTGTGGTTTTTCTAGAAAGAAATAATCACAAATTATCATTTAGGATTATTTCAAATATACCTGTACCAATTTTCGTCATTTGAATATACAATGTGTCTGAGAAAAAAATTAAAAAGGATAGGTGAGCAATATTTTTCATCCTGATAATTCTTCACTCAAAATAGAAAGATGAATCAGGATCACTTGGAACATAGCTGTACCGATTTTCATCATCATTAAACACAGGGTGTTCGAAAAATCTAATTAATATTTTTTTTGAGTTCATGAAAAAATATTGGCTACTTTTCCTTTCCAATTGTTTTCTCATACACATCGTATTTTTGAATGATGAAAATCGGTACAGATATGTTCAAAGTGATCCTCAATAATAATGTGTCATCAATTCTTCTTAAAAATACCACAATACTACATTTTCTGATCACCTATTAAAAAAATACATAATTCGTTTTTTTCGGACACCCTGTGTTTTATGATGATAAAAATCAGTAATGGTGTTTTTCAAGTGATCGTGATTCAGAATCCATCATTGATTTTTGTGAAAAAAAATCCCTAATAGTACTTTCTCAAATATGGGTCAATAAAGTTAGTCGCAGTTGGCCACGATTACAGTTCATGAGTAAAATCATTCTCTTGTTGGATGGACATTTCAAATACCTATCCAACAAAAAAAAGTTCTTTGAAATCGGTCAGATAATAACAATTTTACAGGGGTGGTAAGTCCTTAAGGTGGACACACTGTATATATATAATGATGAAGATGATGAAAGCCCTAATCTCGAGTGACAATGGAAAATAAAAAAACTCCACCACCCCGTGTCATCGTGTCTAATGAATTAGTGACATTAGTGCCGATCGACAGGAAGCACCCGGCTTTGGTGTCAGAAATTGAAACAAAAATATAAACACCGCAATGATCCCATTCAACTTGAGAACACCTACAACTTCAAAGCAGCTGATTTTCCTGAATTAGTGGAAATGATGTATCGATTAGATTGGTCAAATTTGGGCTGCTTCGAAGATGTAAATGATCAAATTGAATATTTTTATAGTCGGATTTATGATGTCATAGACAAGTGTGTACCTAAATTCCAGAGGACAAATATAAACAGAAAATCGTACCCTCCTTGGTTTACGAATGAAATTAAAAGCAAACTCAGACAGAATAAGCATTATAGAAAAAGAAAATGTCAGTCAGAGGAGGATATGATTAACTTCAGAAGGCTAAGAGCTGAATTGAAGAAAGGTACAAAAAAGCTCACTCTGAATACATTCGAAATATTGAAAATTCAAACATATATTCACCAAATATTTTTTAGTACTATGTCAATTACAAAAAAAGAAGAAGTGATCAAGATTCTGAATTCTGCACCACCCTGTATTTGTTTCAATTAAATGTCAGTAGATAGTTGATCAAAAGTTGATATAGGGACATGTGAGCCGTTTTGACCAATTATGAATGGTGTAGACACAAAAAATTCTTGAACTTGGAAAATCTCGATTTCTCACACCCTATATCTCAGTAATTATAACTGCTAGACCCCAAGTATGATGGATTGTTGAAATCAGCTCACCAGGGAACATCTCAAAATGAAATAATATATAGGGTGTTCGATTGAAAAAAGTTCAACTTCAGTGTTTTGTGATTTTTGGGAACATCCTGTATGTTTCAAAATAATATCAAATGGTAGCCTATGTTGACATGCAACTTCCTAGAGAGGAAGAATTCCAAGAAGATAAGTGGTTAGCCTTCTAGAGACCGAGGCGTTACTGTTGGCCCACCCTGTATATATTATATAAAAATCTCGATTTCTCACACCCTATATCTCAGTAATTATAACTGCTAGACCCCAAGTATGATGGATTGTTGAAATCAGCTCACCAGGGAAAATCTCAAAATGAAATAATATATAGGGTGTTCGATTGAAAAAAGTTCAACTTCAGTGTTTTGTGATTTTTGGGAACATCCTGTATGTTTCAAAATAATATCAAATGGTAGCCTATGTTGACATGCAACTTCCTAGAGAGGAAGAATTCCAAGAAGATAAGTGGTTAGCCTTCTAGAGACCGAGGCGTTACTGTTGGCCCACCCTGTATATATTATATATAGATATATATATAAGTTATATTCCCGTGAGAATCATAGCCGACTACGGAAACCACACACATCACCGAAATCGGACGCCTGATAATGCAAGATCAACATATTTCCTAGAATCAGTTAGAGCTCGTGACACTGTATTTCTCACATGTTTCCCTCAGTCTAGAATTAGAATCCGAATTGTTCAGTTGCTTTTGTATGACATAAAATAAATCTTTTTTAAAAAGTAACTTTGACCAAAAAGTTATTTAAGTGGCGCAGTCGGTAGGATTGGTCGATCATTTGTTAGTGAATATAACAAGTTGATTCGTTTCTACGATTTATCGACCTATTCGAAAAATTCGGTACGCGTACGGCAGAAAAATCCAGTCAGGTGAACTGAGTAGCTTGACGAGAAGAATCCGTTCGTTTCCATCAACATCAGCAGCAACCGAGAAGTACAATCGCTGTCTCTTCCGATGCCTGGCCCTGGACCGATGGAGTGGATTTGGATTTTGCTGTAAGTACTGATGTCATATAGAGATTTTCAAGACCAGTATAATTCTGACAATTCTGAAAATTCTGAACATTCAAACAATTCTGATTCGGACTCAAACATCCCTAATTTCCCCTCATATCGCTCTAGATCACCAAATTCAATAAGAGATTTTCAACTGACCCAATCAATTTCCAATATTTCATTAATTTCGAGTGCAGATCCACAAGTACATACAATGGCTGTCTTGAAACAAGAATATTTTAACATGATTCCCGATTTCCACGGTGAAATGGAATTATTGCCGAGATTTATAGAAATCTCCGAGAAACTAGTAAATAAGTTTTATAATGCTGCGGATGTGAACGATTTTCAGAATGAATATCTGATGTCTAGTATCCTAGCAAAAGTAAAAGGCGATGCTGCTTTGAAAATATCGTCTTGTATCATAAGAAATTGGGCAGATTTGAAAAACGCTTTGTTAAACACATATGCGGATAAACGCGATATATTTACTCTGAATATTGAAATGACTGAACTTAAACAAGCAAATGAATCACCGTTTGAATTCTACAATAGAATCCAACAAATTCTGAATTTACAGATTTCACAGTTGACTACTGGTGGTACTGTACAGGAAGTTGATATATTAGGCAAATATGTTAGAAATTTAGCACTTAGAGTACTTTTGAGAGGATTAAAAGATCCTATTGGTTCTTTAATGCGTACTAAAAATCCGAAAGATTTGAATGATGCCTTAAATATGCTCACAAATGATTTTCAGTTAGACGCGGTCCAACAAAGACCACCGAAAAATCAATTCCAGTCAAAACCATCATTCCAAAGCTCTCAGAATAGACCACGCATTATTCCACCATTGCAAATCACAAATTTTTCACATAACACTCGAATGCCTAGCAGAACAAATAATTCTTTTCAACAAAATTCCCAACAGCCTCATAGTAGTAATGCATTTCAGAGTCAAAATAGGAATTTTAACGCGTTTAGACCCAATCAAACTCAAAATCTCCCGAAACCTACACCTATGAGTGTTTCAACCAGAAATACTTATAGACCTAATCAACCAAACTCAAATCAAAACTATCGATTGAATCAACACCAAAATTTCAGACAAAACAGACCAAACTACATTGCTGAAGAATTGTTTAATATAGATAATCAACCCATAGTCGAACACCCAGTAGAAGCAGATCAAAATGAACATTTTTTAGAGGAAGAAGCCTCGGAAATAGTAAACTGAATCATTTTGAACTAATGAATCTAACTAATAATAGAAGTGAACTTCCATACATAGTATTTCCAGAAAATAATTTGAAGTTTTTGATAGACACTGGTAGTACAAAATCATTCATAAGACCTGATATAGCCGAAATTCATTTCAAATCCTCAATAAAAAAAGATCCTTTCCAAATTACAACCGCACACGGTACATCAACTGAACTATATAGTACATTGATTCCTTGTTCGAAAATACTCAATAAATCTAATTTACCTCTGAAGTTTCACCTATTTAAGTTTCATGACCATTTTGACTGTCTCCTAGGGCTCGACAATTTGAAATTGTTAAATACTGTTATTGATTTGAATGAAAATGTGTTGATTACCCCAAATTCGAAAATAAAACTTAATTTTCATAAAGTATCTCCCTGTACGAATTGTATAGTAGTACCGCCGAGATCGGAACAAATAATCAAAGTTAATATTAGGAATATTGCCAACGGGCAAGCAGTTATACCCTATATGAAGATTTCACAATTAGAAATACCAGAATGTTTGACTATTGTCAAAAATAATCAAGCGATTTGCTCAATATTGAATCCATCAAATTCTCAATTATTAATTGACATGACTGAACCAATGGACGCCGAATTGTTCGATGAATACGAACCCTCTTCTTGTCCAAATTTCAATAACGTCAATTTCGAAAAATTTCAATTTGATATTTCCAAAATTCGAACCGAACATATGAATTCGGAAGAACAAACAGAGATCACCAAACTAATTAAAGAATATTCTGA